ACATGTAGGGAAACCACATGTCAGGGTTTGCAGAAAAGGAGGTGACTTTGAGATTCCATCCCACGGAGTGAGTCACTGAACACCCAAGATGTGTCAAGTAATGTGCCAGAAATGGGGTGTGGAGGGTCTGAGGTGAGGGGACCCAGGACGAGTGCACCCAGGATGGGGGGCCTGAGAGGAAGGGGGTGAGCAGCGTGGGGCTCACCGAGGGCAGATGCGGAATTAACAGGCCAGTATGAAGAGGAACGATGTTCTAGAACAGAGAAGGGTAGAAAGTGTGAGGCGTGGACAAATCCAGAGAAGCCCAGGTGATTGAAAAGGGAGGACCAGGGCCAACAGGAGGCTGGAGCACTGAGGCTGGGGTGGGGTGAGGCGGGCTGGGTCATCACCAACCCAGAGTTGACAGTGCCCGCTTTGATTTAAGGGCCCCAGCGGGGAACAGGCCAGGGACTCCCCCAGCCTCCTGAGAGCCAACTCCCGGCCACTTCTCCCAGGTCTCCTCTCAATGTCCTCTCCCTCCCACAGGTGGCCATCACGGTGGGGCTGCGCTACCTGCACACGGCGCTGGACGGCGTGCCCAACCCCGAGGAGCCCGAGTGCGAGAGCGAGGGCTGGCTTCTGGAGAAGAGCGTGCCCGAGACCTGGAAGGCCTTTCTGGAGAACCTGAAGAAGCTGGGCAAGGGCAACCAGGTGGACGCCGAGGCCGCAGACGCCGGCCAGGCCCCGGAGGCTGGCTGAGGGCCCCGGGGCCTCTCCCCTCCCGAACACTGGGAAGTAGTGTACTCCAGGAAATGCAGACACCCCCCTCGCCCAACTCCGCGAGTCCAAATCTCCCAAGGAGGGCGCCACATCACAGACTCTTCTTGACAGTGGAATTTTTAAGTTTAGGGTCCCTAAAAGCATTTGACAGACATTTGTTGAATGACTGACCCAGAATGTGAATGAATGAGCCCCCGCAGGCCCACTGCCCTCGGACATGCCCTCCCGGTGACTCAGGACCTCTCAGCAGTGACTAGCCCAGGACCTTCCTTCTCACACAATTCAACCCACCCTACAGCTGCTGGCTGCCCCCCTTTGAGCGTTTGCCGGTTACAAGCTCCACGTTGCTTCATTCTGTATCCAAGGTGTCACTTGGTGAATAAGCGCAGGAGTCTGAAAAACGGATGGCCGTTGTCTTTTTTTTTTAATGCCAAGATGGACAGGTTGGCCATTTTGTTTGTTCCAGGCCAGAAAGTGGGGGAAAGTTAACACGACTTTTCTAAAAGTAATGGACTCTTACAGCACTGAGGACTCTAATCAGGAATTCTATCATCATGGGGAAGCGATTTTTAAGGCAGATGACTCCCTCACCCAGACGACGGTGAAAGGCTCTTTAGTGTCCCTTTCACATGCCCTCAGTCCCTTAGTCTGGAGTGAACCGTGGGTTGAGGTCAGGTTGTTGGCATGTCTCAGCACCACCCCACCCACCCCTAAGGTGCCGGGTGGTCTCCTGTGACTTGTCCTTGGAAGCACTGGGTGAGACTGCTGCCCTGCTGTGGAGGAGAAGCAGCAGTCAGACAAGAGTCCACCTGCTGGAGAGGTTTCACCTCTTGGTGGGTCCAGCGACACCAGGGGGCCATCACGGTCCCCACGGACAACACTCATTGTCAATGGTGGAGGGCAAGGAGTCCTCAGGGAGCTTCTTCCTGTTTCTTTCTCCAGATATCCCATCTGCAGAGCATTATTTCTGGAATGCTTCTGCATCAAAGAAGATTTTCTGAGGTAGCCCATCTTCCTGAGCTAGCAACTGTAAGAGACGTTTTCACTTCCTTTAGGAAAGAGAGGAAGGAAGCTTTCAGGGTAAGGAGAGAATGATTTCATTGACATCCCAGGCCCCTGGTGACCAGACCAAGGCAGGGTCCAGCATAATCCTGGTAGTTGGATGGACATTCAAGAGAGCATATTCCTACTTGGCAGGAGACCAAAGCTGTAAGGCAGGCAGGACAGCCCATAACTTACCTCTGCTTCTGACTTAGCAACGGTGTTTGGGAACGGTGTTTGGGAACTTTGGCCTAGGTTTGGGTTCTTGACTGTCCTAAGAGAAATGTCAGTGCAGAGAAAAGATGACTTCTGGTACTGCCAAAGGTATGTTCTGGGGCTCTCATTCTCCCAAGCAGATGACCAGATCAAAGATGTTTGGGCCGGGCGCGCTGGCTCACGCCTGTAATCCTAGCACTCTGGGAGGCCGAGTTGGGAGGACAGCTCGAGCCTAGGTGTTTGAGACTAGTCTGGGCAACATAGCAAGACCTCATCTCTACTAAAAATAAAAATAAGCCAGGTGTGGCGGTGCCTGCCTGTAGTCCCAGCCCCCTTGAAAGGCTGAGGCAGAAGGATCACCTGAGCCCAGGAGTTAGAGGCTGCTGTGAGCTGTGACTGCCACTGCACTCCAGCTTGGGCGAGAGCGAGACCTTGACTCAAACCAAAAAAAAAAAAAAAGACGTTTGGACCCCCTGTCAGTCTTTGGTCCTGGGTTTAATTAGACGTCTGAGCCTCATTAAGGCCAAGGAATGATCCACATCACTAATGCTGAATCCGTCATCTCTGGTGAGGATCCCTAAGTGCTCCCGTTCTCTCAGGAGTGCTGAGAACCACCGTGAAAGTGCTGTTCTAGGCCCGCCTGTGTAACTATGTTGTTAACAGTTGTACAATAGACATTAAAAAGTACCTGGTATGAAAATCACTTTTGTTAAATGACTGTCTTAGCCCATTCAACGACTACGTATCACAGGATCCCCTACGTTGGCTAGCTAGCCTTTGCTAAAGAAACTGAGCCTAAAGGGAAGCTCTGGTCCTGATCACTGTTATCACCACGGCATGAGTATCACGTTTCTCCCTCTTGCTCTCTCTCATCCACAAAGGCAGTGACTATGAGGCGATCCAAACCATCTCAACGTTTGTTAGTTTCAATCAGAGCTGAACTTAGCATGTGGAATTTTAATTCAGTGATTAAGCAAAAATTCCGAGCCCTTTTTTTGCCCCTTCTACTCTGGCCAAAGCGATTTCCCCAAAACAGGGCAATATGAGTCTCCACAGGGCCAGGTTTAGGGCAAACAGGAGCAACCTGAGAATTTAAGATCTGTCGAGAGGACCAAAGGTGAACCGACCCTACAATCAATCTCGACAGTTAGTTCAGAGCAGACTCAGGGCTAATTGCATGTTAACAGGTCTTCTCAAGTTGCTGGAGAAAGCTGACCCATTCCTTCTGGTCACCTCCTAATGCCCAGGAAGACGCTGGTACTAGGTTCTTCCGTGTGTCTAACTTCAGTCTTTCCTAGGGCTAGTGTAAATTCATGTTTAAAGTTCTGCTGGCCTAGCTCTGGGGTGGGGTAAGAGGTAAAGCCTTTGAACTTTTATTCTGAAAACACAAATTTGGCAATGGCTAGTTCTTCTGAATATGCAGGAAGCTGTGTGTCCTAGAATTTGTGGTCTGAGTTCAGGAACTCACAGTCTCTTTACAACATGCTTCAAGCCCAGGACTGAGCTGCCGGCAAATAAACCCCGAGTAACCTCAATATGGGTTAATAAGATTAGGTGCTGGCCCTGCCTGCCCTCTTCCTGCCTCGCCCGGGCACCAGTTGTGCAGGGCCAGCAGGTTTGCAGCTTAGCCAGGGGCAGTGGTGGAGCTGGACCCACACAGGGCCGCTTGCCCACGACTGGATGAAAAGACCGCTTCCCAAGACGTGTGGGGACCAGCAGCACCGGGTTGGTGCACTGTGAAAGTCCAGGGAAGAGAGGGGCTACCGTCCCAGTTCTCAATGGACGTGAGATTGGCCGGAAGGGGGGCAACTACGTCCTTAACCCCTGATGGCATTCTATCTGTCCACCAAACAGAGAATGAGTGTGAACAGTAAAGGTGGAGGCTAGAGAATGCTGTGCCCCACAGATGGTGAAAGGGATAGCTCCTAGCTACTTACCCAAGGGAAATGGAAACTTAGGTTCACACAAAAACCTGTACATGAATGTTTTTAACCAAGATAATCACCAAAACCCACCCCAACGCCCTTCACCTGGTGACTGTGCAGACACCTGCACAGTGGAACTCAGCAACCAAAAGGAACACGGGGTGACTCTCGCATGTATTCTTCTTTAGTGAGGGAAGCCAGACTCAAAATGCTACATATAACAAGATTCCATTTACAGAACATTCTGGAAGAGGGTGGGGGAATAAGTTGACTACAAAGAGGCATGAGGGTACTTTTTGGGGTGATGGAATTCTTCTATGTATTGACTCAGGTGGTTGCTAAACGGCAAGCATTTGTCAAAATGTATAAAGTTGTACACTAAAAAGGGTGATCTTACTGTTGTAAAATATACCTCAATAAATCTGACTTAAAAAAACAAGAGTAGGGGCAAAAAGTGTGTCAGAGGGGGCTTCATGAGTTCTGGGACTGGAAGACAAGACTAGGGAAGGAAGCACACCGGGAGCTGTGTCAATGACCAGGAGGTGGGTCAAACACAAGGCAATCTTGCTGTTTTAAAGTTTGATGGCTTCGAGAGGATTTTGAAAAGCACAGCAGAACTCTCATGGGCAACGACTTCCCTTATGGTAGAGTGTAGCTTCCTTTCTACACGCATCTCTCAAAAGCAGAAAGTGTCTGGGGAGTGTATCAAGAAAAGGAACTGGAGATCGCCAGGGGCGGATGAGCAAGAAGCGTTTAAACTCAAAGACGGGTCTTGGAGCGCCCCGTTTCCCAGTGATTTGAGGTCCAAAATGGCCCAGAAAGGTCATAAGCGGTCACAGCTAATGAATATGAAACTTAATCGGCTGAAATGATAATCATAATTTCTCTGGGAAGGTCAGGATGGTCTGGCTAATGGCCATAATTGGCACTAATATTATAAGCCTCTTAAATTTCAAGCTAATACAGATGTCCCACTTTATTTGTAGCAAGGTGACATGGGGAACACTGCCGTGGCACTGAAGCTTGAGAAACAAAACATAAGATACATGCCAGCAAAAGTCCTGTCAACACCCAAAGCATTTATTTGGATAACTTTAAACTTTTTACATATGATACATTCCAAATTTTACAAGTTGTCCACAGATATTAAAGTTATACCAATGTATTAAACAGATATGATTTTCCCTGATATGGAAAGCTTATGTTATATAAACTTTTCTACAATAAACATAAAACATGCCGAACAAATCATAAAACTAAGGTGATTCATTAGGGAGGGAAGACACTAGCCTCACACCAGAAAATAAAAAGTTGTGTGTGTTGCTATGTCATGTAAATTCGTCTTTTCGCAGACTCCCTGACGCTCTCAGAGAATGGGATCCAGGGATGCCCCTTCCTAACTCCATTCTATGAAGTCAAGTCTGAAAGCTGAAGTATTCTCACGATTTGGGGAAAATGTTTGTAAGCCACTTATAGAGAGATACCTGGTCTTGTCATTTTAAGTTTAAGCTTGGTCAACATACGCAGAAAATCAAAAAGCTAAAGGAACTGGAAGTGAAAAGGCCAAAATAAACATTAAATATGCATTCATAGCCCCACATGGAAGAAAGGCCGGGAAAGGAGGGGAAAGTGAATTCTAATTCGAACCTTCCTCCTGCTGGTCCTCCTCTCAGCTGGGTGAGCCAGTCCCAAGCAGGAGCAGTAATGGCCATCCTCTCAAGTGGAGGAAGTTCTTTCCCACAGTGCCCTGGGGCAGAATGTGGCTTCTGCGTCCCACTTACTCTGGCCTCAGGTCTGGATGTCTGACCTTCTCTAGGTTTACTGTGGAGCATGCACCGCTGAGTGGCAGCTGAGTGGAATGGTGCTTGGAGATGCAATTCAAAGGAAACTGAGAGGGTCATCTGCATGGGTTAAAACATCCAAGAGCCTCTTTTTATTTATTTATTTGTCCCTTAGCCCCACCTTAGAAAGGCTCAAATTTATTTCTCCACTAAATCTGCTGTCACTGCCTGTGTGTATTCATGCTCTCAGCACATGCCTATCAAATAATAGTAGTTGTGTAGTATATAGTAGTTATAAGCTATTTTATAAGCAGCTATTGTTCTGGGAAGGCACCTCTTAGAATAATGTTCAAAAAGAATAAAAAGCCTGGGCACAGACTGTCCCAGGTTATACTAAGTGAGCTAGCAAGTAAGTAGCAATTCATCTATTCCAGAAAATGCTGGGTGGGGGTGGGTTTTCACTTTTTTTTTGCTAGTGTTTGATCTAGTTGCATACAATTTAGCCTTAGAAATAACAGAATATTACTGTCTGAAAAATTAGAATATTCTTTAAGTTTCAAAAAGCCCTTGAAGTGAGTTTTTTTCTCTCAAAGACAAAAGTTTTTGCCAAAAATAGAAAAAATAAAAATCCAACCCTCAACAGCCCCGAAAAACCAACCGGCACGCTAAGAAGCCACCTCCTCCCCATGGGCTTCCCCTGCATGAGTGTCCGCCTAGCCCTCCCACCGTCGATGGAAAGAAAGTAATACTGCCTTCAGAATCGACCACTTCGCTCTTAGAGGTAGGGTTCTGTCAGCAGAGGGAAACATCAGTACAGTCCTAGCTTCGAGTCATTGAGAGGATCATATGACTCCAACAGACCACAGAGACTATGCTTCTTGTGTCTTTTGAACCAGCTTCAGACCTGAAGTTCACTACAAACAGTCAGGTAAAATGGGTCAGACTCCCACAAAGGGGCTGTGATCCAGTCTAGGAAGAGAAGTGCCTTGCTGGACCCTAAAACCCAAGACATTACATTTGAGGGACACAGCAAACAGCAAGAAAATCTGCCGATGGAAGATGAATGACTCTCGCCAGTCCCTGGAGCCAGAAACCATAAAAATAAAACTGGGAAGGAAAGTTTAAATAAAGAATTTATTTCAAAATTCAGCAAAACTTCTTTCCTACTCTCTTGAAAAGCCAACCAGTTACAAACACACGTTTGCGTTTTGGATAGAGAAATCCTTATAGATGCTGCCAGTCAATGCCAACCAGTGTCTGATTTGCTTCCTGTGCATGTCCAATTTCCTCTGTGATACTGTGCTGGTGCCACAGCTTCTGAATCTTCTTAAATCGTTCTTTGCACAAATGTAAAGGATTTCCCCGTCTAGAAAGAAGACACATGTCACTCAGGATGCATTCTGTTTATTTGTCTATTATACCTCAACTCTTCCTGATTTAGGAAAGGTTATAAGCTGTTTCAGATTCTGCGACATTTCTGTCTGGCAAATGACCGTGGCTATTAACAAATACATTAGCTCTGAGGGTTTGAGAGGAGTCAGGGTCTGCTGAAAAGTGGGGGAGAAGTACCCAGGGCACACTGACCACAGTGAGGGTTGAGGGAAGAGGAGGGTCTGGGTTGAGAGGCCAAAACTACCCATTTGTTGTCCATTTTGTTGGTAACATGTAAAAAGGATGGGGACAGAGGAGAGGGTAAAAGAATTACAGGAGTAAAAATGTTCCTCAGAGTGCTTTCAGTCACAAAGTTTCAGTGAAGCAACCAAACTCCCGGTTTAATTTAACCTGAGCCAGGCACACCTGCTCCTGATTCGGAGCACATCAATCCCCTCTCTTTGGCCAGGGCTGCTCCTCTTAGGAGCCCACACTGGGAGCAGTGGGCGGGAGCATCACCAGGTGGCACAAAGTTATAGCCCTGCAGCCCAATGCCTGGGACAGCTCATTTACTCACCTTGCTTGGGCTTTCAGGCCTGCAACACCTGCTATTTTCAAGGCTGGAGAGTCAAATATCTATAGAGGTTACAATTTTTACCTCCTTTGCGTAAAAGAGATGGTCTAAAAGAAGTTCTTAAGTAGTGCTAGAGGAAACTATACTTACAATACACTAGATGGGACCAAAGTAGAAGACACTTAGCCTCAGATACCGTTTGATATATTTTAAATCTCTGTCCCCCAGGTTTATGTAAAAGCTGAGCACATCTCTTAACAATTAAGAACACTGCGTCTCTCCTATGCAATGCCATGCAAGTCAGAGTGGGCCATCCCTATAGGACTCTGATGTTACAAAAGCCATATGGCAATTTGTATGGTTCTTTGGAGTGACAGATGGAATAAAGTTGTACTCTGTCCTGATATTCCTCATGGCATCCTGAAGGCTGAGAAAGAACACTAACTCTGGCAGCAAGAGTACACCCCCTAGGAAAAGATTCCACAGATGACACAGCCACTTCTGCCAGACCCAGCTCCGCTCCGGGTGTTAGCGGGGTCACCTTCAGGCAGGACCACAAGCTTACCGTGTTCACCACATACTGAAGGTTTCTGCAGGGCCAGAGCTAGCCAACCCAGCCGCACAGAATGGGCTCTTACCTGAGTCCTTGGTCAGTCTCCCCATAGTCATCCAGGTAAGGAGGAGAATAAAAACAGCCTTTGGTTTTGCCAGCTAAAAATAGCACCTGACATTCCCGTACTCTGTGGAGAGATCATTCATACATTATACATTAGTAACTGAGGTTTACATTTCTGTATTTAGTTCCAAAAGGAATGAAGTCTTACAGTACTGATATTTTAACACCTATTATGAGGAAATTATTCATTTAAAACACTGTGTACAAACATTACAAGTTAGATTGACCTGAGACACAATGCAACACATTTTGTACATGACCAGAAGAATCTGGAAATATGCTGGACAAAGGAAAATGATACTTTTACATTTTTCCTAATAGCTGTCTAACAATGTGTCCCCTGAGCTATTTGCTTGACTTTTTCTGATATTAATAATTCAGCTCAACCATTATCTGATTTGCTTCCCGTGCAAGAAATTGTCAAGGCACTGAGGGATGGCTAAGATATGGATATGACCTATGTCTCAGAGCTCAAACTCATGTCACTTATCTGCTTCAAACCTTAAAGCGGCTTTCATCTCACTCAGTGATGTCTCCAGGACCACCAGCCCCAAACTCCCCTCTGTGCACAGCACTCCAGTGACATCAGCCCCTTGCCTTGAACAGGCAGGCAATTCCCACCCCAGCAACCTTGTATGAGCTGTTCCCTGCCTGGAATGTTCCTCTCCCTTCTTTGGATCTTCACTCAAGTCACACTCTCTGATCCACGATGTCAAATTCAGCTTCCCGGCTGTCATTCCATGTTACCCTCCCTGTTTTATGTTTTCTCCTCAGCACTTATCACTATCCAAATTCTTACCAGTTTTGTTTATTCTCTCATTAGAAAATGAGCCCCATTTACAAGGACAGAGATTTATGTCTGTGCTGCTGCCCACTTCATTCTCAGGGCTTAGTAAACAGAAGTCACGTGTTAGACCTTGTCGAATAAGTAAAACCACGAATGCCAGCTTGTGATATATATGAATGGATATAAATCCAAAAGCCACAAGGACACGAGAACATGACAGAAAGAATACTTCTGCTTGGATTTGGATAGAAAATCAGGGACAGCTAAAGTTTTGTGCTCAAGGGTAACAAGAGAGCAGAAGTGTCCCTGGGGGGAAGGATTGGGGATGATAATGAAAGAACAGCAGAGCTGGCCTGAGCCCAAGGGGAGATGTGAGCAGAGAAGAATTCCATGTTCTTCAGATAAAAGAAACACAGACAACAGTGGTCTCAAAGTTCTCTACAATGTAGCGGTTTCCTGGTGTTCTGCCCCCCCCCGCCGGCATACACTGAGGCAGAGCCAAAGCTCCAAAGCCCTGGCAGGTCCTACCTCAGGAAGATGCCCACCCCAGAGCCGCAGGAGTAGGTGTGTGCTGTGCAGGCACCGACGTCTTCCCCCTCCAGTTCCGTCTGGCAGCAGTAGCTCTGGGAGCACAGCAGAGACCCACATACAAGGCACAGAGTTGGCGCTCTGCTCTTGTCACCACCCGACTTGGGGCACCTCACGGGACAAATAAAACACAAGTCATTGTTCTAAAAGAGAGTGGCAAAAGAGCTGAAGGGGAAATAATCATCCCAGAAAAGAAGTCTGCAGTATCAAGCACAACCAGTGTCCTATGGGCCAGGAAAGTTTGTTCCTACAATAGGGAATAGGGGAACATCTCATTTATAGATACACAAAAACTGTGTACTGCAAACACTCAAAAGAACCAACAGGCCTGGAGTGGTGGCTCACTCCTGTAATCCCAGCACTTTGGGAGGCCATGGCAAGAGGACTGCCTGAGCTCAAGAGCTTGAGACCAGCCTGGGCAACATGGTGAGACCTTGTCTCTACAACTTAAAAGACAAATTGTGCCACTGTCATATAATGAAATACTATAGAGCAGTGAAAATCAACAAATTAAAATTACATATGTCCAGGGAGACACCCCTTATCAACAAGGGTGCCTGAACGATGCATATTTGTAAACCTAACTGTACCCCACAATTTTAAAACAAAAAATGTTTAAAAGGAAATAAATAAATAAATAAATAAAATTACATATGTCAACATGAATCAATCTTAGAAACAATGCTGAATGAAAAGCTGCAGAATATGTACAATACAATGTCATTGAAATGAAACTTAAAACATGCAAAATAATGATATATGCTGCTTAGGAACATACGCTTACGTGATTAATACCCAGGAAGGCTTCACACTCCACTTAGAACAGTGGGTATCTGCAGGGGATGGAGGTGGGGAGCTTCCACTGTCTAGGTAGTGCTTAAGTTCTTACACTATTGTACTATTCTATTTTTTAAAAATCTGAGTTGGGGGTTTCACTCTGTTATCCAGGCCGGAGTGCAGTGGCATGATCATGGCTCACCACAGTCTTGATCTCCAGGGTTCAAGTGATCCTCCTGCCTCAGCCTCCTCTGAAGGTGGGACTACAAACATGCCTCACCACACTGGGCTAATTTTTTATTTTTTAAATTTTTTTTGTAGAGATGAGGTCTTTCTATGTTGCCCAAGCTGGTCTCAAACTCTTGGGTTCAAGCAATCCTCCCACCTTGGCCCCCCAAAGTGCTGGGATTACAGGCATGAGCCACTGTACTTGGCCTGTACTATTTGCTATGGTGATCAATATTTAATAATATATTGAAATATTCAACTTGAGAAAGATGACTGAAAAAATATACAGATATAGTTTTTATTACTTTAAAGTACAATTATTATTGAGATAAACTTTCCTGAATCAAATTCACCTGCCACCACCCCCATTCTAAGTCTTACTCTGAAGCATGGTAGAATGATGCTTTTACAAGCTTGGTAGTATGAGGTACTACTGATGTTATGATTTCCCTACTCAACAAGACAAAGAACAACAAAACCCTCAAGTTCTTTGTGGAGAGGCTAAATGTTTCTAGTGGCAAGAAATGCTCAATGCTCTAATGTAAAAACTTACGAGAAATTGGATGCTTGATTAATGAGGCTGCTGTAATCCTCTGGAAGGTCTATTAATTTGTTAGATTCTCTAGGATAGCTAAAAAAAAAAAAAGTAAAAACTGAAAAAATCTTTGGTACAAGTCATATTATAATAATGACAGGGTAATATAGTTTACTCAAAACAAATAAAGGAAGACTGAATCTGAGTGAATGCGTGCTGTCACAGCAGTACAAGAAGCCAAAGTTAGACATTAATGATGTACTTGCATTAATGATGTCTTAGGGTTCACATTTTTACTTGAAGAGCTCAGAATAAATGGTCAGGTGATGGTACCTAGTATGTGCCCCATCTAACTGAAAATTTGGTAGCAGTGGAAAGAAGGGGAGAGGAAGAAGACAATACTCATTCCCAGTTCCTACCTAAACAACATATTAATGGAGAGTCCAACCATAAAACTTAGGACACAGAATACAGAAAGGGACATGCTGATCAGAGCAATCTGAAGGCAGAATGAGCTAAGAGAGAAGGCAGTAGAGGAACAGATACATTTTCTTTAAATCAGAGATACCGGGCCATGTTGATCCTGTGACTCAAGCTAATTCAAACAAAATTGAGATCCAAACTTAAGGAGTATTTGAGGACTCATTCCCAGGGCAAAATGTTTCCCTGTGCATGTTTCTGGCCAGCACAGGCAACGTGGTGTGGCCTGTCACTGCTTCAGCTACTGCCAAGGGAAGGAGTGGACCTCAGCTGAGGGGAACTCCTTTAGATAGCAGCTCTTAATCATACCAGAATCACCTGTGGGAGTTTTGAGGCAATACATATGTAAGGACTCCCACTATTGAAATATTAGATTTGGTAGATAGTGGCTTGAATATTTTTAAAAGTTTCCAAAGTTATTATGATATCTACTTCAGGCTGATAACTACTGTTCCATATATTAAGAGTTTTCTGACTGCAGGGTGGAATCACAGGAAATTGGTATATTCAACCATTTTTGACTTATAAAAACTGAAATTTCATATGGTTCAACCTAAGAAAATTCAAGTGTTACCATTTCTGGATGTGCAAAAGTAAACAAATAGAACAGACAATTTCCTCTAGTCTTCTAACATTTATGGATGATGTGTTTAGTAGAGAACCAGGGAGATATAGACCGAGTGTTCCTTATTCAAAATTCTTGGGACCAGAAGTGCTTTGGATTTTAGAGTTTGGAATATTTGCATTACTGGTTCAGCATCCCTAATCCAAAAATCCCAAATCCAAAATGCTCCCATGATCATGACTTTGAGTGTCATGCTGGTTGCTCAAGAAGTTAAAAATTATGAATTTTGGGTTTTTGGATTAGAACCACTGTGAATTTTGAATTCTGAATTTTGGGTTTTTGGATTAGAGATATTCAACCTGTATTAACAGCTGAAACACATTTGTTAAGACCCAGTAGAGTATACGCCACTACAGAACCAGAGTAAAGGTTACATAAAAAGGAATGAAGAAAACATAAATATAAAAAGGATTGGTCATGACTTGATAGTTACTGAAGGTGAGTGATGAGTATGTGGAGTCTCATTACTCTATTCTCTAGACTTTTGGATAGTTTGAAACTTCCCATAATAAAAGACAGAAAAAGAATATAGCTAAGAAAAATCTAAAAGAGGACCTATATTTTTTTAAAGCAAATATTCCAAAATATAACAGTTGTATTTGCCTCCTCTGCAGGAATAATGGGGTATACTTCTGTTCATAATTCCGACTTCTACAAACTCCTATTATTAGATTAAGAAGGAAGTATGAAGGCAAGACATGCTACCTCTTGAAATCACTGAAGGCTTGAGAAGTCAGTTTGGAAGGAATATAGCACTTACATCCTGCTTCCCCCCCATTTCCTACCCCAGCCAAGTTTTTGACAATTTCAACTTACCTTATAGCATCTCTTTCACCTTCTAGGTATCTTTTAACTTCATTATTTTGACACCAACTTTAATGTAAACAAAGGGGGAAAAAAAAGCACTTTCACTTTTCAAGGGCTAGAACGAAAATGATCCCTCCCCTACAGCCAATAAGAGGAAAATAATCTTCTTGACTAGATATATTTACCTCATCAAAAGAAGCCTGGAGAAATACATTTTGCCTGCAACTTTTGAAATCAGAAGAATATTTTCTAAAAGCAAGAATGCTTAATATATTAAAATTTGTGGCTACAAACATTATTATCTCACTAATTTGGATACTCTGGAAAAACCAATCTAAATTAATGACAACTTATACTATCTGGAGCTAGAACACCCGCATTAAAAAAAATTCTTAGCACAGTAAAACATGCATAACATAAAGCTTATTACCAAGTTAGCCATTTTTAAGTTTACAGTGCTATGGCATTAAGTACATTCATACTGTTGTGCAACCATCAGCACTATCCATCTCCAGAATTTGTCACCTTTTCCTATTGAAATGTTGTACTCATTTAAAAACTAACTTCCCTCCCCTAGCCCCTGGAAAGCACCACTCTATTTTCTGTCTCTACGAATCTGACTACCCAAGGTATGTCTTAAAGTGCAATCAGGCAGTATTTGTCTTTTTGTGACTGGCTTATTTCACTTAGCACAATGTCCTCAAGGTGCATCTGTGTTGTAGCGCGTGTCAGAATTCCCTTCGCTGTGTGCATATACACACCACATTTTGCTTATCCATTCATCTGCTGATGGACAGTTTGGTTGTCTCCATTTTTTGGCTATTGTGAATAATGCTGCCATAAATGTGGGTGTGTAAGTAATGACCTCAGTCCCTGCTTCCATTTATTTAGCAATATAACTAGAAGTGGAATTACTGTATCACAAGGTAATTTTGTGTTTATCTTTCTGAGGAACTGTACTACTGCTTTCCACAGTGCTTCTATCATTTGCTATTTCCACCAGCAATGCCAAAGGATATCAGTGTCTCCATACCCTTGTCAAAACTTATTCCCCCCTCCTTTTTTTAAATGGCCACACTAACGGGTGTGAAGGTATCTTACTGTGGATCACCACCCATGACTAGTCATGTTGAACTTCTTTTCATGTGCTTATTGGCTATTTGTATATCTTGTTTGGAGAACTGTTTATTCAAGTCCTTTGCTCATTCAGTTATTTTTTTTAAAGAGAAAAGTTCTCCCTCTGTTGCCCAGGCTGGAGTGCAGTGGCACAATCATAGCTCACTACAGCCTCGATCTCCAACAATACTCTAACATTAGCCTCCAAAGTACCTAGGACTACAGGCACAAGCCACTATGCCCGGCTAATTTTTTGTAAAGGTACGGTCTGTGTATATTGCCCAGGCTGGTCTCGAACTTCTGGCTTCAAGCAACCTTCCTGCCTTGGCCTCTCAAGGTCCTGGGATTATAGGCGTAAGTCACAATGCCTGGCCTTTGCCCATTTTTTTTAGTTGGGTTGTGTTGTTTTTTGCTATTGAGTTGTAGGAATTCTGGATATATATTTCTGGATATATACATTCTGGATATTAACCCCTTAATAGACATTAGATCTGCAAATATTTTATCCCATTTTTGGAGAAGAATAGTTATATATCTTAACTCAGTTACGTGATATGATTGACAGGCCAATTTCTCTAGATTTCACTAAAAAGTGAGGGTATTGAAGTAGATAGCCTCAAAGCTTCTTTCAGTTTTAAAAATCTGTGCAAAGCCAGTAGTGGTATTGTGTGCTATAGTCCCAGCTAATCAGGAGGATGAGGTGGGAGGATTGTTTGAGCCCAGGATTTCAAAGTCAGCCTAGGCAACACAGTGAGACTCCCATCTCTTAAGAAAAAAAAAAAAGTCTATGGAACAGAATCCTTTACAAGCAAGTTCACATAAGAAAATAAACATTTCTACCACCAGTCCCTCTCCATGCAAATCTATGCTATTCACTAGCTTGGCAAAAATCTTACCCAAAAGCCTGATTCCTAGCTAAAATGGCCTAATCATTGTAGTTTGAATTGCATGTGTTAATTCTACCAGACTATTTAAGAATTTTGTCAGGGATGTGACAACTAAAGTTTGGTTCCACAGATTATTCAACACAATGAAGAAAAGAGTACAATCATTACCTTTCAATCAGTGAATTCATTATCTCACTATTTTCTTGAAAAAGGCAAATCAGGTTGTTGGGTAGGGAAAGATAGTTACATAAATGTTCAAAATGGCTTGTTCCAGAAACTGCAAATGAAAAGAGCAATGAACATAACAACTAAGAGCATATCCTTCATGAGAGTAAGCAATAGCAGAACTTAAAAAAGAATGAAAGAGTTAAACTTTGCTAAGTCTGTAACTTGTAGGAAGTTAACAGAATGGTATGTGGAAGGAATCCATGAAAAATGACACAATGGATAGAGTGGAGTCAGGTAACTCCTACATCAGACTGTATCTCAGCTTTACCACCTGCAAAATTGTGCACCTGTACAATCAACTTGACAGGGTTACTGTGAACATTAAATGACAAAAATAACGTGTGGGTACTCTGGAAAAGTATCAAGCAGTACAGAAATCTAAGATGGCTTCATCATGAGAGATGGATTTAAATGCTAACTCTAATCATCACTGCAAATAATTTGGAAGACTAAACTACTCTATATGGTGCCTGGGCAGCAAACTGAATAGAGATGCCAGTCAACTAATCTTTTTTTTTTTGTTGGAGTCTCACTCTTGTTGCACAGGCTGAAGATGCAGTGGCACACTCACGGCCACCGCAGCCTCGACCTTCTGGGCTTAGGCAATCCTTCTGCCTCAGCCTTTCAAGTACTGGAACAACAGATGCATGCCACCACGCCTGGCTAGTCCTTTTTTTTTTTTTTTGGTGATTTATTGTAGAGACCAGGTCTCACCAAATTGCCCAACCTGGTCTTGAACCCCCAGGCTCAGGCAACCCTCTCGCCTTGGCCTCCCAAAGTGCTGGGATTACAGGCTGAGCCACCATGCCCAGTCAACCAACCTTTAAAGAGTGGTATGTACACTCTTTAGAGAATACAGAGACATAATCAAGTCCACCTTTACGCTACTTTCATGGAATGAATCAAAACAGAACATGAAACACTGTGAAAGACCAAACTGACTCCCACTTAAAATCAGATTTAGGCTGGGCACGGTGGCTCATGCCTGTAATCCCAGAACTTTGGGAGGTAAAAACAAGAGGATTGCCTGAGCCCAGGGATTTGAGACCAGCCTGAGCAACTTGGTGAGACCTCTACAATAAATCAAAAAATTAGCCCGGGGTGGTGGTGTGTGCTTGTGGTTCCAGCTACTTAGAAGGCTAAGGTGAAAGAATCGCCTGAGCCAAGCAGGTCAAGGCTACAGTGGCAGTGAGCATGCCACTGCACTTCAGCCTGGGTGACAGAGTGGACTCCAACTCAAAAAAAAAACAATAAAATAAAATCAGATTTACATGTAATTGTGGGTATTCTGGATTTTAATGCTATATGTGTTACAAGTTAAAAAAAACTTGAAACTGTTAGTTTTTACTTTTTGGAACCTGAGGAAACCTGTTTATAAATAATATATAATTGAACATTTTAACATCTGAAAGCAAAATTAAGATCTTTATGGGAAAAGTGTTTTGCAAATATAAAAACACTTACACAGAATGGTACATGTACTGAGATCCAAATAAAAGCAGACATATACATAAACAAGCATTTTTAGTCTATAAACACATGCATCCTCATAGTCAATTAGCTATGCTTTAAATTTTTAATCAGTTTTCATTTTTGCAAGTCACTTTTATATTTGTTGGAGTAAAAGACTACAAACATTTCCTACAATTTGAAAGAAATTAGAAATTACCTTGAATGTCAGGTGGGGAAGGAACTCCATTTAAGTAATGAAAAAACAAAGCTGAACACTTCAGGAAAGGCATGATTCCAGCTCTGACACTCCTCAACAGATGCCAGCCAGAGGGTATTTCTTTCAAGGCACTGAGAAAAAGAAAATAATTATTGGGAAATCTAATAAGACAAGGTCACTGTATTTATATAGCACAGTGTGAAAACAGAGATAACCATCAACTGTCATCTGGAACCGAGGGGAAATATTTTCTTTTTTTTTTTTGAGTCAGGGTCTTACTCTGTCATATAGGTTGGAGTGCAGTGACATGATCATGGCTACTGAAGCCTCGACCTGCTGGGCTCAGGCAATCCTTCTACATCAGCCTTCCAAGTAGCTGGAACTACAGGTGCATGCCACCACACACAGCTAATTTTTTTATTTATTGTAGAGACAAAATCTTGCCAAATTGCCCAGATTGGTCTTGAATCTGTGGCATCAGGCAACCCTCTCGCCTCAGCCTCCTAAGGTGCTGGAATTACAGATGTGAATCACTGTGCCTGGCTGGAAATATTCTTAAAAGGAGTTAACAGGACAGTGGCTGCCCTGAGTATTACGCAATGGTGGGTATAAGTAGTGATATAGCCTCTAATGCTGCTATTAAAGTTTATAAAAGTAATATAGTAACATAAAGGAAAAAAATGTGAAAAATGAAAAGCTGCCCAGGCTGGACTTGAACTATTGGGCTCTCAAGGAATCCTCCTGCCTCAGCATCCTGAGTATTGCTGGCTCTTTTTATTTTTTATTTTTATTGATTGTTTTTTGAGACAAAGTTTCTCTTTGTAGTCCAGTCTGGAATACAGTGGCATGATCACAGCTCACTGCAGGCTCAAACTCCTAGGTTCACGTGATCCTCCTGCTTCAGCCTCCCAAGTGGCTGGGATTATAGGCATGTACCACTGTACCTGGCTTCTATAGGCCATCATTTTTAATAGATTTATAATATTTTGGAATATATCAATCATAACCTATGCCTAACTATTCTCCTGTAAACAGATTACTTTCAATTCTTTGCTAATATAAATAAATCAGACTGTACCTCATTATATACCTATAGTTTTTTCCTATTTGCTGAACTATTTCATTAGTGTGGGTTCTCAGAAATTTTTATAGGTTCTGGACATACACTGTTAAAAGCTAAGTGAAACTAGCAAATCTCAATGACTCCAACAATAAGTGAAGTTCTAATAATTTTACTTCATTCCCAACACTACTGAATCTGAATATTACCTTAAAAACTTTACTTTGCATTTTAAAATTCCTAACGAGACAATGTAGGTTATAGAATAATAACTTTCCAAAGTACATTCCATCTATCCATTGGTCTGTGCCAGATCCTCTGAACAAATGAAGGGTTCCAAAGCCAAATAAATGCAAGAAGTTCTGCACACTATTACCTTCCTCTCAGATTTCCGATTGTGTGAGTATATGAGTAATTCAGAAGGCTTGCACATCACTCCTTGTCCTCTTTTTCAAAACATAAACAATTCCCCTAAACTAACAAATGGATTGCTTTCTCCTGCTATTGTTGACTATTAATATTGAGAGAAATGCCTATCAAGTAAAGACCACAATCTCACCTTCCTGTATACTGCTGAAGTGTTTTATACAAAGCAAGAACTGCTGCTTCTTCTTCACTGGTGGAAGTTTCTTGATCCATGCCATTCTCTTCTGAAAGAAAAGGAAACACTAATACTCCGGATTTTCCAGTTAAGTGTTATCAAAAGGATTGATGGCCATATCATTTAAGCATGCAAATATAACCACACAGTCACGTATCACATGAAATGTTCCCACAAAACCTACACAATTTTAACCCCTCAAGTGGGAGCACAGTATTGATGTTCATCAGATCCAAGAGTCAGTTGGCATGTTTTGAGTAAAATCAGCTACATATATTGTCTCAAAATGCTTGAAAAACATGTTAATGATGAACTCATGGGTGCATTAACAAATATGTAAGTTAAAAACAAAACTGGCATCCTAAAATGGAAAATTCTAAGGCGCTTAACTACTACCTTACTTAAATATTACTGAACTTATGAAATAAAAAAAGTAAAAGCATTCATATTGCTAGGGTTTTTTTTTTTGTTTTGTTTTGAGTTGGAGTTTCATTCTGTCGCCCAGGCTGGAGTGCTGTGGCACACTCACCGCCACACCAGTGTTGACCTGCTGGGCTTCAGCGATCCTTCCGCCTCAGCCTTCCAAGTAGCCAGAACAGGCGTGTGTTACCACACCCAGCTAATTTTTTTGATTTATTGTAGAGATGAGGTCTCGCCAAGTTGCCCAGGCTGGTCTCGAATCCGCGGGCTCAGGCAATCCACTTGCCTCGGCCTCCCACAGTGCTGGGATTACAGGCTGAGCCACCGAGCCCGGCCGCTAGGGGATTTTAACAGGAGAAAAAAACTTGTTTCAAAACTTTTCATGTGAAGAAAAACAGAAAAAACAAGTAGCCTGATTGCAATTCATGTATAGCTGGGCTTGGTGGCTCAGCCTGTAATCCTGCACCTTTGGGAGGCTGAGGTGAGTGGATTGCCTGAGCCCGCAGGTTCGAGACCCGCCTGGGTAGGCGAGACCTCATCTCTAGAATAAATAAAAAAAATTAGCCGGGCGTGGTAGCGTGTGCCTGTAGTTCCAGCTACTTGGAAGGCTGAGGCGGAAGGATCGCCGGAGCCCAGCAGGTCGAGGCTGTGGTGGCCAGGAGCGGCCACTGCACTCCAGTCTAGACAACAGTGAGACTCCAACTAAAAAACAAAAAAAATAATAATAATAATTCATGTATAATTCTCATCTACTTTTTTCCTCTACTTTTCTTTTTTAGATTAGAAAACATAGTTTATTTAGAAAGTAAGTGAGGGAGGGGAGGGGGCCAAAGCCAAGAAACATGGCAACAGCCATAGCTTAAAAAGCACATGGCCACACCAGAGTCCAGTAAGGCAATGGCCCCTACTTTTTTTTTAATTGAGCAAACTCAACTACTTCTTTGAAGAAGTGCCCCCTATACCAAAAAAAGGGCAAGAGTTACCTGTACATGAGGTAAGTAAGATCTGGATGATGTGTGCCATAGTAACCAGATGAAAAATGTGGAGGTCTCCAGTGCCAAGGCTGATCCCTGAAAAATCTTGACACTGCAGCGCAGGGAAAGCGAGCACCAAGCCCACCTAGAACCAAACACAGAACATCAGAAAGATTTTGCCTTTCCTTTCACAGCTAAACACAATTCCAATTTCTCATTGTAACCCCTCCTGAGTTCAGTCCTTCCTTTAAGAAACCTTTGTTCTTACAGGGTATACATGTTAGAAAATCCACTAAGATTGGTCAAATGAAATGACTTAAGAGTTAAAGGAGTCCTGACAGGCACTATCACCTTATTTATCCTATGGGTTCCCTATACACAGCTTATTGTTACTAATAAAAGAAGTAACACTTGCAGTCTTTCCAGGGAGTAAGCAGTTGAAAAGCCATGGGTTTTAGACCCACAAAGACCTAGATATGAAACATAGCTTCCCTTATAAGCTTTTTAAAAAGACAAGTCAACACCTCAGAGCCTCAGTTTCCCTACTGGCAAACTAGAGATAACATATATATGTGCTCTAAATAGCTTAGAACTAAGAGTTAACATAGGTGAAAGCAGCAGGTACACAATAAATGCTGGCTCTATTAGCCTCCTGCTGCCTGGATGGTAGTGCAAGTGCTAGCAGTTTTAGCAGCAGCATTGAGAACAATAATAGCTAACATTTATTAGGAATATATTGCTCTAGGCTTTTCACTTGGACTAACCCATTGAGATCTGACATAATCATATAAGTACTAACCAATTACAAGGTACAGGTTCATGGAATAAGGGGACAGCACTTGGGGCTGCTGGGTGTGGGAGTGCACTTTGTATACTGTATAAGAGAACCAGTTGAGGTGGGGCTGAAATCTGGCCATCCACTGCTTGAATATCTGTGTACTGGCACTAGCCCTGCTCAGATGATGTACCTTTTCCTTAATCATTAAAAGGAGTTGTCTGCCACCAAGTAGTGTAACCACAGGGCTGTATCTGCCCAGATTTTCTAAAAGGAACAAAAGCAGTGTATGGGCTAGAAGTTGCACTTATGTTGCTGGTATTACTTTGATCTTTTCATAGGTTAAAGCATAAAGAGGTGAAATTACTGACCTCAGCTACAAGGCAAATAAGAGTTGGAGGATGTCTATTTTCACTGGGAATTTAAAAATGCAAAGCAAATTGGCATAATACGTTTTTAGGGTATTTTGATATCTTTAGCATTTTCTTTTTGAGGTTTCCTATAAACAATCATACTCGAGGTGGTAAGAGTAACGTCTACTTCTACACTATTCACCAAAACTAAGGTAAAGTTATGTAGTATGATAAAGAGAACTTCAAATAAGTAGTAAAATACTCACCAACAAATGAAACATGTCAATATCTAATATGCATGGAAGGTCTTCATGGCTGCCATTAGGTACCAGTGCTAAAGATTTAAAGAAGAATACATTAGCACATTTCACATGCCAACATAAGTTAAAATACATATAATCTAGTTTAAATTTTTAAAATTAAATTAAAATTTTGAAAGATATATATGAATTTATAAGCTAAAACTTAAACATAAAACTTGTGTTGTAAATGTATTAATACTCACACACAAAAAGTTTACAAAAGTGTCCTTGCACCACTGAAAGTGATGCCACTGTCCAATGTGCTGCTGCAAATCTTGTTAGTGACCTAAGACAGTCATCCTGAAATAAAGAAACAGACAAAATTAATAAAGAAGCCAACTTAAGAAGTAGCTATTTTCTTTTAGGAATGTGCTTCTTTTAGGAATGCTAGTTCAGAGCACAGCTGGATGCACAATGAAATCACTCTAGACAGAATAGAATTGAAACTGTGATATCTTTTTTTTTTTTTTTT